AGAATATTAATGACAACTACCATTGACTTCAATCCATTGAATATTTTGGCCTAGATACTTGGTAACTGTTCAAATAAATATTTGTAGAGAATAAAAAATATCTAAGTGACTGTTTAGTGTGATCCTTATTTCTTTCATTTCAGTTGCCTTCACAGATGGCTACTGGTTATCTCATATTTGAAGATAAAATTTCTATAGCATAGCAGTGTGCACCTCAGAAATTCCTTGGCTACTTGTTGTAAGAGTAAAGTGATATTAAATAACGTTTAGGTCACAAGGCTTTTTTGAACAAAAAATTAAAAAAAAAAAATCCCAAGTACTTACCCCAGTATATACCTGTACCTGAACTTCAAACTTTAATATTTTAAAAGATGCATATAGATACATAGCAGCTTATTAACCTCTTTCGTTTAGAATATATTTGGCTGCCTTTGTTATTGAGATAAATGAGATAAGTTGGGCCCTGTGCTAGAGAGAAAGTTTTGTCTCATACCGTACCACAGTGCACCACTGATTATAACGCAACTGGCTCGGGACCTTCTTTGCCACTTGCTTTGCTGTATCATGACAGTCCAGTAATAGGAAAAAGTAACAGTAAAGCAGAAACTGTGCTGTAGGCTGGAATTGCTGTGAGGAGCAGCATTAAGCTATAACTCTGAGGATTATTCCTTACTGACATTTCCCTTCCACTTGCACCGGTGCTTATACGAGACACACATTTCAGATTCATATACTTTAAATTAGTTGTCATATAGCAAAGTAATCATTTCAATCACTTATACGGTTGTATGGGAGAAGGAATAGAAATTAGTAGTTTAATTTGTACTTTTTAAAATTATCATTTATTATCACAAGTGTTATCTTGTGAAAGTCGTACTACAGAACTAAGCAATCTGTAGTTTTGTTTTCCAATCACTATCCGAAGGTTATGGTTTCCTCTAGAGAGAAGCGTTATGGTCTACTTTGGTGAGGAGCACTGAAACATTCTTTTTTGCAAATTTTGTAGTAAAAGAGAGCTTGTATTTTAGCAGTTCTGCAACCAGGTCATTGCTCCAAGGGAGACACGGTATTTACAGGTGGGCTCCCAAGTTCTGTCCAGCGTCTGTTTAATATGGTATTTACTATAATACTCGGAAGTGCTTAAAAACTGCTGATCTAGAAGTGCAGTCACAACCAAAATGTTTGAGACCTGCTGTTGTATTCATTGGTTGTATTGTATTTGAATATTCCTCTGAAGGATTGTTCTTTAAAGATGCTAGTTTTAGCTTGTCAGTGATGTATATAAAAAGAGGAAGTATAGATTATTGTATTGTTTAATGAGCACAGGATGCAAACCAAAGTTCAGAGGTGCACCATCCCTTTTTCTGTGGCCTAATTTAGGGACTGTAACCAAATTTGTGTAATGTATAACTTCATATCCTTCCTCCGAGGTAAAAATATCATTGGAAGCAATCCATGTTATTGTCAATACCTTCTTAAGATCAGAACATGCACAATTTGTAATAGTAGCAGAAGCTAAAAGAAAATCAAATCCTCCTATTTACCCACCTTCTGATTTGATTTTTGGCTTTTGCTACCTGAAATAGCAGTTTCCTGAATAATATTGATCTGCCTATGCAGAATGTAATTATCACATACTTGGTAATTCTCATTGCCCTTGGAGGTGTTAGAAGTCAGCCTGTGAGGAGGGTCGGGAGGCTGGAACTGTTTGCTAATCTTTACGCAGTCATGCAAAGAAATAAGGGAAAGCAACCTTGAGTCAAGCCACAGTATATTCAAAGGCACCTCTTATGCCACCTCATTGCTTTCCCTGGGATGGCAGATTCCTGATGTCTGTTCACCCTCTGCCTTCTCCCTGCTGGATTTTGCCTTCTGTCCGTCCCCATTGCTAGCCGAAAACATGGCAAGAGTGAACTCATTTTCCATGTAAGGAGGCAAAGGAGACAACAAGAGGCTCTTGGAAGCAACGGTGGTCGCAATATTTACCTCAGCAGCCTGGGATTATTTGTTTATTTGGTCTTTCCTGTTAAATCGCACTCCTCCTATGCTGGGCAGCAGCCTTGGCCCACTAGAATAGTAAGTTGTGGAGTTAATTCCTCTTGAGATCCATAAGACACTTCACACCTCTCAGAGTAGCTGAAAATCAGACAAGCAGGCACCTTTAAGCTAATTACACTGAGTTTTTTCAAGCCTTCTCCATGGTCAGGGCAAGAATCTTGATTCAGAATGACTGAGGGTCTGTTCTCCTCTTGTGGCATCACAGGCTGAGGGCTGAGATTGCATAATTGCATAAAACTTACCTGGTTTAGTGCCTTCTCTTTCATTTCTTGCATTTAATTCTTTTTCGTTTCCATCTCTGCCCCCTGGATCAGTAGTGTGGGGAAGGCGGCTCTTGTGAAGTTGTGACACTGACTTCTCTCCGCTGCCACCCAGGCTGGGGCAAAGGGAACCGAGTGGGTAGCAGCACTCTTCAGGAACTGCAGAAAAATTATCCTGTCTCAGGGAAGAGGGCAGAAACTTAAGACGTTGAGTAAAGACTGTCTAATTTTGAAGGCATTACTGGACTACTTCTCTAACTGCTTTTGAGAAAGAGAACTTTTATTTGTAGAACATTCTTGTAAATGTCTGGATAGCAGAAATTTGGTTTGATGGGACGAGCACTTCAATTGCCTGAAGATGGCTTTGGAATTGGGATTAAATGAGTTTAGTAATTCCTCTTCTCATTGAAAAATGCCTTAATGCCTTGAAGTTTAGGGAAAAGAAAATAAGTATTTTAGCAATGTTTGGCATTGCTAACCTTTCTTCTAAAAATGCTTCCTAGAATGTCCACATCTCCTTGCTCTTATGTATGAAATGAGAAATAAATGTCTGAGTTCTTTCATCTGTTACTTTTAAATAGATAATACAGACCTGTTTTTTTTTTTTCTGTTTTCTTTAGCATGGCAAACAATTGAAATCTAAAGGATTTTTTTTTTCTAAGCACAGTTATGTACATGTTCCCCTATTCATAGCCAACCACTGAAGACACTGTTTTGAAGCTAAGTTAGATTTCTGAAAGCATGTATTTGTACCTGCAGTTAGTTATGATTGCATTATGACTGCAGTTACTGGATATCAAGTTAAGATTTAGGGGGATATATAGGAGTAACAGTCTAAATGAGATGTGAAAGATTTTGCTTGAAAAAGTTGATAGCTTTCAAATCAAACAACAGGAATAATATTCTGCAATGTTCTCTGTCCATTACGTAGCAAGCATGAAGAAAGAATAACAGGCTTAGTCCCTACAATAATGAAGAATTATAGAATAATATATATTAAATTTTGTTCATACTACTTTGCAGGCCTGACAGCAGCAGCTGCAGCGGCAGGGAACCCCGCCATAGCAGAAGCAATGAAAGTGAAAAAAATTAAATTGGAAGCTATGTCCAACTACCATGCAAATAATAACCAGCATGGAGCTGACTCTGAAAATGGAGATCTGAATTCAAGTGTCGGTAAGTCTCAGACACAGCATTATTATATGTCCTTAATGCTATGATATTTTATTAAAATGATAATCCTTCTGGACTTCCTTCTGAAGTTCCTTGATTTGGTGTAAATAGTTGCATATTTGTTTTCCTTTTCTTACTGTTTTTAGTTTTACTTTGTATCTGACCTTAACACCAGCGTTCAGCGTTGTTGTTACTATTACAAAAACATTCTTTCCTTTGCAGGCTACTTTTGCAGACTGCAGTTAATATTTTCCATGAAAGAAAGTGGTTTGATTGCTTAGAGTTCATTTTTCAAAGTACAGGTGGGGTGACAGATGATGGTGTCAAAGTGAAATTTAACAATGTCTCCTGCTCAGTGTGCTGGGTATCGACTTTAGGTAATTCAGAACACAAGCTTGAAAGCAAAATAATTCATACTTTCATGTGCTCTGTGACAAAAGGAAAACATACATACGCAATAAATTATTGCCATGCTCTGCAATTCCTATCATATTTTATTTTAATAAACACATTCTTAAAATGTAGTTAACAGATTTTTCCATTTCTTAAGCAGCCATCAGCAACTCTTTCTCAAAAAAGAATTGTTTCAGTATACTTTATTCATTTGTTTGGACAATTTGTTTTGCTAAAGCATACTTCAAAGCTAGAGTAACTTTTTGTTGTTGTTGATTAAATCTTTAATCATCTGTGTGTGTCTGCTGTAAAATGTTTTGTTATGCCATTTCATTGTATTGGCTCCTTTTATCATGTTGAGACAGAATTAACTCAGCAACAGAAATTCAATGACAAAGAGGTGCGTTCACAAGACTGCAGGCAAGATTGGTGCATCCTGGAAAAAAATGGCTTAAGATAAGGGTTTTTTTGTTTGGTTTTATTTTGACTCTTTTGTTTAGTTTTGTTTATTTTTTTAGTTTTTCATCTCCTAAATACGTTTGAAATGAGTCTTAGAGAGTTGTGTACCAGCCTTAACATAAATAAATATGTGTTTGTGAACAGCATTTCTGTACAGTTCAGTAGGCATCGGTAGGCTATTATTTAGAAATAATGTGAATTGTAGTTCAAAGAACCAGTTCACCTAGGCACACACTATTTTAAATAACAACAATCTGTATGTGTTACCGCTTAAGCAGACAACCAGATTTTTTTGTTTTCCTTTTAAAGAAAGGCTTAAAAAAAGCCTCTTTGACGGCAAAGAAAATAGTCTTAAATTAGTTGTGCTAGTACTGAGATACCAACACGTGCCGTCACTAGAATTTTAGAGGAAAGATTGTCCTTTTGGAGAGAAGACAAGAGTGGGTACAGAGCAGGTGTCTCTGAAATCTGGGAGGAGATAGGTATAAATGAAGTGGAAGGACCAGGTGGCCCCTCACATACTGAAGAAAAGGGAAGTAATGAAAAAGAGTGAAAAGTGTAAATACAAACTGGAAGCTTAAAAAATCTTTATTAGAACTAGAATCTAGTTTAGATTTGAATTTCAGTCTAGAGGCATGCATTAAGTGAAATAAAATGTTCAAATACTGGATTATGGAATCAGTTACTCTGCTTGACAGTTCTAGTGACAAATACTTGTACATCCCTGGATGTGGAAAAGTTAACAGGTAATCAACATGAAAACCATGTTAAATATTTGGAGCAGAGTGGACGGAGGGAGGATCTGAATTTCCTCTGAATAAAAATGAAAAAAAGAATCTATTTTGAAATCGTTATTTGAGGCATAATTCACATAGCTAATCTGCTCTTACACAGCTTGATCATTTCCACTGTTTAAGAAAATACATTCTAGCTATTTTAGTAGGGCAAAGTTAGTGAAGCAAGATTATTTGTTGTCGTGGTCAAAATTTCCTCTCAGCCCCTTAACTTACTTGTTAACTTCAGTTAATTTCCCAAATTAACCGAATGAAGAATTGTGTTCATTTTGTAAAAAAAAAATGGCTCTGGAAATACAGTGTGCTTGTTTGTGCATCCAGTCTTGACCTGTACTCTTACTATAGAGGTTTTCTCAAAACCAGTTTGCATTTATTTGCTTCTTTTATAGTGAGCCCTGTCTAGTGTCCAGTGTTGGTTATGCCAATGGAATCAGAAAACTGATTCCTACTACTAGCAATGCTAGGGTGTTATTAGGTTCATTGAGAGTTAAGTCTCTATTTATTAGTTGCATTTTTGAAAATCAGCATACTGTATCTTGACAAGAACTCGTATTTCAAAAACATTTCTTTGTAGTAGGTGTATGCTTCCCCCCTTGCATTTTTTCAGATGTTTATTTATGTCTTTTCAAATAAATATTATCAAGTCCATATATCATTAATGATTTAAATTACAGCTTGTTAGGCATGAATTTGAAATGTTACATTCTGAATGTTGACAGGAGGAAGGAATAAAACAAAATAAAATAACATGAGCTTGGTTTACATTTTAAATTTTGTTATGTGTCTGGCCAAACTGGGAAAGAACAAACAAACTAACCAACCAGGCTAAAAGCTTAACCGATACATCTTAGCCTGTATTTAACAGACGTTATCGTATATTAGTGTATATGTACTGATCATACTGTGTTCTTAGGCTGTTCCAATGCCTGTGTAAAAGAAGCTAAATAAAATATGGGCTTTTGAGTTGAAATGTCAGGTTTACTTCCGAATTGTCTTGCTTTTTGGTTTTAATCAGATGCTTAATGTGACTCACGGAAGTCATTTTTGTAGACGAACATTGTATAGTTATAGAGAACACTACACAAATGTATTAACTTGGTCCTTCGAATCAATGGCCAAAAGGTTAGTGAGTGAGTGGAGTTAAAGGAAGCCAATGATACTAATAAGTAATTATTTTATATTCCTCACTTTTGCGTGGTAACCTTGAGCTTTCATCCTCCTACCAGAATTATCATTTTGAAGGTGGAAAAAAAAGGGGAAAAAAAAAAAGAAATTACAGAGGAATCAGAGTGAGGTATTAGCACACTGAGTAAAATATATGGCTGCAACGCCTTTCTCCCCCATCCACAATCAATTGGATTCTTTTAGTTTAATATTTACTTGCTAAGATGAGATGCTAGTCTGCATGGTGATAAACAGTCTGCTACTGGCATCTGAAGGTGACCTGTCAGTTCATATGGACAAATCTCCTGCTTACTGAAATGTACAAAATAAATCATTAAAGCAGGCAGGTGCTCATTCCCAGATTTAAATCACCATAGATTTATGATTTGAATTAATGCTTCATTTGGTCATAGAAATAGATGCTGAGACAAATGATATGCAGTGGTTGGGGCTTCCATACTGTAGCCATCCTAATATTGATTACTGAGATGTCTTTGCAATCTCTTGTTTATATCAAGTACTGTCTTGTGACAGCTTGGCTGATATGAGCTACATTGCAGATAAGAAGGAAAAATGTCCCAGGTTCTTTTTAGTGGCAATTCTACATACAACATGCAGGATAGATAAATTACTGGGTTTTTGTTTAAAAAATGAATTCCCTGTGGAGACAAACAAAAAAAGATTGTGCCGTGTGTGGGATTATTATTTTATTTATTTAATTGCAGAATTAAAAGAAAGATAGTGCCAAGGTCAAACTTTAAATTTCATTGAAGAGGTTCTTCTCTTTGTCATATAAACATTTAAGGATGCTATTAGGATCAATTGTATATTTACCGTTTAATACTCTGAAGTTACGGATAGGTAGAGCAGCTCAATTATCTCCGTGCTGCTTAAGTACTTACTGCCCTGCTATCATATTTTATTAACCTGCAGCAGCAAAAGATAGAAGCCTTTGAAAATAAGTATGTTTAAAGCTATTTCTGTGAGCTAAACTTTGCTATCTATAACTTGGTAGGAAGTGAAGAACAGTCCCTATACTTTTGCTTCCCAAGCATTTTATATAATGAAAACACTATGCATACACTTTAGGGAATACTCAAAGGATTTGTAAAGACCTTTGCCACTTGCTAAAATCTGACTCATAAAACTTGTAAACAACTATCAACAATAGTAAATTACTTGCTTAGTAGGAAATGAGTTCATATCTATTCAAAATGTGATCTCAAAACAGATGTCCCAAGAAAATGTCATTGTTTAAACCACATTCATACAAAAAAAAAAGAAGCTATTATTTCTTTAAGGAAGTGAAGCAATCATGAAGACTTTGGTGTTCTCAGTTTCTAAACACAGTTAGGAAATACAAGGCAACATTTTACACTTGGCTAGCATGTTAATCCATAAACAACCACAAAATGTGTTGAAAATTAAGAGGTTTTCTTGGCATGTTAGGTTTCCTATTCATCCGCATTACCTTGCAATATTTAAAATTATGAGACAAATGCAAGGTTTCCTGTGATCTGTTGTTCAAAAGTAACGGTTGCTTGCATACTATTATTCTTTTTTTTTTTCATCCAGAATCAGAGATAAAATGATTTAGGTGAAATTATTTTTCTCCAGTGACCTTGCCCAATAATAGAACAGTACAAAATGCAGTCATTTCCTTTTTCTAAACACACGTGTCTATTTTGAAGGAAAGAATTACTTTTATGGTTTCAGGAAAAAGTCTTGGAGACCTTGAAAAAGCAAATAAAAGGAAACAGAGAATGCAGGCCACTGAGCACAGCTCTGCAGTTGCACATCTGATTCTCTGCCTTGGCAATGTTAATGAACCTCAAATCCTCCCTATAATTAGATGAGGGAATTGCTTATATTTTCAAACAGATGATGCTGCTATAATGAAACGATTGACAGGGAACTTAAGAGTGTCTACAGTAGTCATTTGGTTTCCGGGTTTTGGTTTTTTTTCCTTTTCTTCTTTTTTTCCTTTTTTTTTTTTTTTTTTTTAAGTGTAAAAAGAAGATTGGCTGTAGATACAGGTCCTGGGAGAGGCAGTAATTTACACAGAATGCTATGACAGGTGTCTTTGTATAGCACTGAAATAAAATGGAAGAGAGAGGAATGATGGGCAGGTATGGCAATTTTTTGGGAGGGGGTGTCCTGTGCTTATTCTGCTTGGGTTCTTTAAAAGGGGCC